GTATAGTAAGAGAAGTAGTTTTTAGAATATTTAATTCGATATATAATATATACATACTTGAAGGTATTCGTAAATATATTAAATTATTTAAATTTTATTTAAAATTCTGGAAAAGAAAAATTTGTGTACTAATGTTTTATTTTTTAAATGTTGTTGAATATAATATACATGTAAAGGTGAAATGACTAAAATAGTATGTGTATAAAGTAAAACTAAAAATATTCTAAATACAGCTACATAAAATCCAGATAATATACATACATATTAAGATTTCATGTCTTAATTCACACATTAAATACTATAATTATTAATAAATTTAAATTAATTCATTTCTTTTGAAAAGTGTTTAGTTTTAGTAAATCTTTCGTCAACTTTGCTTTAAAAAAATTCGGAAAATCTTGTGACTTTTCCAACTCGAATATGGGCAATCAAAAAGTAATCGTAGATGTTTAATAATCTGAAAACAATTGTAAAACTGTCTAAATAAATGTCAATTCGACTCTCTCCCTCTCTTTTTTTCTATCTTTCTCTCTCTCTCTCTCTCTCTCTGTCTGGTTTTCTTTTTAATGCCAGGAAATATGCCCACATCAAATTTACATCGACAACAACTTTTAGGCTCATAAAATATCAATAATTGTCAATCAATTTCTTTTTTTTATATTCGTTTGTTTGTCCTCGCTCGGCGACAAGCCTTTGAGTCTAGGCAACTCGAGTCCTTGCGTGAGTTTTACAATATTTAGCTACTTTGAAGCTAAGCAAAGGGCTACAGCTGATGTGAAATTGTTCTTTAATTCGATATGTTTGATAAGCTCTATTTGATTTGAGTTTATTGTGAGACTAAGGAGAATTGGAGATAAGTTAGGCCAAGAGCTATTTATACATGTAGGAAAGAAGATAAAATTGCAGTGCAAATCTATTCATTAAAAACCCATCTAAATTAAGCAGTAGGAAATAGGCATAATAAGGCTAGGAAAACATGAAAAACACATTCATGAATACCCCCAATCAGTTGACAGTTGTTGTACAGCTTATGCGTCTTAGGCCTAAGCTCACACATTACAGGGTATCAACTTGTCAATCACTCTGTCCTCTCTCTGTCTCCCTCTCTCTTTAATTCTCGCAAATTTGCAATCAAACGTAAATTTCGGAGCAAATTTTCTTCTCGAAAAAAATTAAGCATTATCATTAGAGGAAGTGCAACTGAGTCAGGGCTCAGCAGACACTTGAATCAAGATGTGTGTCACTTGATAAAAAGAAAATTCTTGTTATTACACGATGGGCGTGGCTGACGCCCAGCTATACTAGTTGGCTTCCAGCGCGGCGCGGGCTAATAAAAATAAATAAAGAACAAGAAGCGCGGAGCGGAAGCAGATGAAAATGACAAGACACGACAAGACTAAGTGGTATATGGAATATATGCTCTGGCATGCCTACACACACACACATATGTTCTCACCAGCACACCCACCCGCCCAGCTGATTATATGATAAGTGAAGCAAAGCAGGTTGTCTAGCTGATGTGTGTGGGTGTTGAGAAGAGAATGAAAAATTACCATATAATATGCAGAAAGCGAGAATTCAGTTGGAAATGCAGAAAAAAAAATCGAAGAAAGTTCAGCGAAAATATATGGTTAATTACAAATAAATACAGCAAGCACAACAAAGTTAATTTAATGGCTGAATGATCTTTATATGAAATGAAATGAATTTTAATAAATAAATCATAATTATTTTTAAAATATATGATTCGACATTTCCATTGCATAAAATATTATGTTTAAGTAGAAAAGGATAATGTGTTCTGTACTCTTAAATTTAAAAAACTTAAAAGCACAACACCACACGTAAATTGATTAAAAAAAGTGTCCCATATAAATACATAAAAAAAAAAATATTTTTAAAATATACATATTAAATTTGGGCTTTTAGATCGAGGCATCTGTAGCGGGGCCTAAAACATTTTTGGGAAAAATTAGAAGATTTTAATTTGTGAAACGTAAATAATATAGATATATTTTTATATATTTTGCTATAAGATTTATCTATTTTTTATTATCATTTGTGTTATTTAAAAATTAAATCCTCTTATGTTTCTGATTGGAGGCTTCACATGATTATTATTCTTATATTTTTGTTATTTTTTAACTTTAATTTTTCCATTTTATTTAACATATTTTCTGCTACCTTTTACAAGCTTTTCATATATTTAATTTGTACATTTTCGTTCCTTTTATTTCAAATACCGATCTTCAATTGTAAAAACGTTACATTTTAAAATTCATTGCCTACTTTTAAGCGCATTTCAGAGCTTTGTAGTTTTGGCATTAAGTGTACATATTTAATGGGCTTACATGCATATAGTTAACCATTAATTGTATTAGGCATTAAGCCCAATAATTTGAAAAGGATTCACATTTAATTATTCCTAATTGGCTGCATTTAACAAGGTTAATAAACAAACAAAGCAGTCAGCAGACAGCTGCAGCTGTATAAACAATGCATGGCAAACAGATTGGACAATATGTAAATAGGTGGGCAACATGTGAGACCAAGTCGTAAACAATTTAATTAAAACCGCATTCACAGCGCATGTCAGGCGCTGTAATTGTTAATCAAATAAGTAAATGCAGTTAAGAAGATTTACAATTTGATAGGTAGAAAACAAAAAAACAATCAAGGGGGATGGCGGATAACCATTAAACATTCATTTAAATAAAGAAAAAATTTTTAAGCTGTGAACAGAAAATGCAAATTATATTTATTTAAATGTAGACACTAAATTTACAGTTCTCTTTTTTAATTTATTGTTGGTCTCATTTATAAAGTACAAATTAAACTAAATTCGAATTGATTAATATTATTCATTTATTTTTTAATAAATATGTTATACTATATAGATTTGGTAACAAATAAATCTTCATAATTTTAGCACAAAAAGAATTATAACAACAATTATATATCAAATACATTAGAAAGATTTAAATAAATAAAAATCTTTGAAAATGCACACTTTTATTTCTCTTCCTTAAGTTTTTATCTGTTATACGCCAGAATATAT